ACTTCCCAGTTCCTCAACAGAAATGCACGTGCCAATAGAAGTGATGCTTCGCTACCATACAACCATGATGACACACTGGACGAAGAAGAACAAGAGGGAGAGAAGGGGTCTTACCTGAAAACCTTAATGCCCTAATCAAAGAATCAGGGTAAAAGCGTCTGCACTTTGTGTTAACAACTTACCGTCACAAACAGCAAGCAATCGGGCAAAGAAAAAGCGGCATCAGCAAGACAGCTTCCTGGCGCCTTTCACTGCCCCGAGTCATAATCAAACATTATACCGCAGATAACTCAGCACCAAACGCACGTTAAACCGGCAGTGCGACTAGGAGACGACAGCAGATGCGCTGCTGGTGTCGACTGCGACCCATGTCCTATAACGGCTCGAGGTAAGTACAAGGTGAGTCACGTGGACTCCAACCTGGGAGGCTAGGCAGACCGACGGCAACAACTTTGGTCATGAATAAATTCATTTCAGGCTGACAAGTCAACGTTTATCCACGTCGAGTTTTGCGCCAACCTACATTTCGCAAACAAAACGAGGCCCTCCTATGTAAGCAGTGACCAGGCATACGTAGTACGTGCCCAAGTCAAAGTAATCTATTCAGTGTTATCTGTTGTTCTAAAGAATTAGCTTGGTTTTCACTAACTAGTACTCGCCCACGCGCATCATTGTTGCGGACACACTGGTGGTACCCGACACTAGCAATTCTCAGCAGTCAGCGATAATCAAATACTTGAAAACGCCATGGGTCCTTAGATTGAAGCGGCTAAGTCTCACCCTCATAGATTCAGACGGCCCTAACTGTGACCTTGTGAAGATGGCCTTTCAGATAGAGGGAAACGTCTTTCTGTCACCAAAAGATGTCTTAGATGCTGCATTCTTGCAATATACCAACTGACTTCAGTAGTTATGCACCCACCGTTGCTGATGCAAATTTCTCGTTGTTTTCGCACCGGGTATCAGTTTAAGCGTGCTTAGCCTGTACCATCTTTTAATCGTGGTCTTTTAGGCATTCATGAATGACGCTACAGAAGATGCAAACAGAGCTCAGATCGCCGGAGTCAGCCAATGAAACCGGCGTTGTTCTTCCCCTAACGGAGATAGTGGAGAAACTTTCAGACGTCCACTTGACCACGAAAATTACAGTCGGCTAAGCATAACAGGAATCAAAACATCTAAGCTCAGTCCTTTTCTTTGGATACAACTGCGGCACTGAACATCCCCATTTCACTGAGTGACATCATAAGATTCCAGTACATCAGTTACAACTAGCTATATTTAAAGCAAATAACTACCCAAATTGGCATCTTGGAAAATATTTGGAACCCTTCGAGAACTCATGATTTCAGAAAGCTTTGAAAACAACCGATTGGTATAGTTTGTGGGCAACCTTTCGCTTTTGCTACAAAAACTTCCTTAGGCCAAGTGAACCAGTCGAGGATTGGTATATCACATATGGCGAACTGGGATGATAAGCGCGACGAATGGGATGTAAGCAGGTCAATCGCGCCACAGGTCAACGCATCATACCAAATAGTGCATGGAAAGGTCACAAGTGGTCCGCGTTAAAAGGTCATACACGTAAGCTCTGTTAACGATGGGTGCGGGGATGATGTGATGTTCATTCTCTGCCCTGGATCCGTCCGCCGGCGCTCCTCAGACTGGTCGAGTTAACACAGCTCGTCACCTGCTCGAAAGCTCTGCCCGTCCATTCTGTTCACGCAGCTGTTCACTTTGCTAATCTCAACTACCTCAGCAGTCAGCCACTGGAGATTGGATCCCAATGCTGTTTGCTGACAATGCCCCAAAGAATTGCGATTCCTTTCTTCTACTTTTTACTTGATGCACTGATCACGCGGAACATAAACGCGGGGTCCACATAGAGTTTATCTGTCACCAGGTAGTGGACGATTGATGTCGCTAGTGTCGTGTGCAGGAGATCGCTTGTGTTCCTGTGCTGCGCACCTGGGGTGGTGGACGGAATTAGGGGCAACAAGTGTTTCTGAAGCTTTGGTATATGCTCCGCAGCTCTCACCTGAAACTGGTGTTCTCTCATGCCTACTCCGGTGGCATTGCAGCCAAGTGTAAACTGGTAAACATTGTCCGTACATGTTTGCCTGCCGGCGGCGTAAAGACCGCGCAGCTTAAGGAACACTCTTGCGGCTTAGCATTCACCACTTGCATAAAACACGTTAACGGAATTACCGGGTCGAAGAGAAGTGGCTCAGTTACGCTCTAACAACAATGAACTCCAGGACCGTTTTCTTCCTGTTAGACTCTTCAGGTAGAGAGCCCGAGCTGAGAATTGAACCCAACGTGGCTTTCTCATTGGGCACTTAATACAAAGTAAACTGTGGCCCTAACTGAGATTGCGTATCGCTACCCAGACGAATGACGGGTACCCCTCGTGTCAGCAATAAAAATACCGGGCAACTTTGAATCATTCTCACTTGCTGTGTGCGCTGACTCCTTGGTGAAGTCGATGACCTCACTGGCATTATGTGGCGTAAGGAAAGGGGACATATGGGTATTCTGGTGGTACAAAGGCGCTGGTTGCACCCTAAGGTGGAGAATAAAGTTGTTTAACTCGGTGATATCGTGTCGCATGGTCCACCCAGTCTGGGAGGCCGTAGAATCACGGAGTAGGTGTCGCCATCTATAACAAAGGACTTTGGTATAAGTCAGAAGCTATACCAAGTATCCCAAATTCAGAAATAGCTGTTCATTAAATGAATGTAAACTCAAGCTTATAAGTGGCTCGCTTGCTGTTGTTATCGGGAGCGTCCTAATTGCTCCTGGAATGCCCCCCCGGCGGTACGATCCACTAACCGAATCAACCCGTCTTCACTTTACAATGAATTGTGCTCCTGATTGTGATTGCATTTCGCAGTTCATTCACACTACGTGTAATTTAAAGTGAACCTCCACCCCAATAAGTTAGCGGCTCATCTTCTCTGGGGTTACTAGCAAGAAGTAAGTGCTCTATCTGCATTGTTGCTGGTGACTTTGACGGAAGTGGTGTGACAATCACGGTATCCTTTGAAACCAAACTAGACGCACATTTGTGTTTTGCTTTTACAAGCAGAACCCAATTGTTTTCTAATCTTATACGGGTTTTTTGGGAAACTTAGACTACTGCGTTCTAAACATATGTATGGTCATTTACAGTAAAGCAAAGTTCTCCTTGATAAAAAGCTTTCCAAAATCGTCAGCTGGTGAGCTTTTTCAATGGTAAATATTGTAGCATTCCAATTGCTTCTGATTCAAAGTAATTTTTTAGTTTTTCGGAGTGAAAATTCGACTTTGGAGTTCGGGCATCTAACGGTATAGTTTAACTAGTCAATTTTTGCATGTATACCTAAAACTACTCACACTGGTTGCATTAATGAAACCCACCATGGGATGGTGTCAAAATCTCCTAAAAATGACTATGGCACTGGCAGGGACGACAGTAGCAAAGTTTGTGGCAACAGCAGCAGGAGTACTCTATACGACCAGCCAATTTCATCTATTCATCTACTCAACCTGTAACATCTAAACAAGTAAGTTTCGGGCCCCATGTTTTCTGTAAAGGTCGAGATTTGCACGCGTTTTCATCCATTAATCTTCAACTTTGTCGGGAATCTTGGCCCAGATTTTAAGGAATCTGTGGGACAGGGAATGAAGAACATTTTGAGGTGTGGTAATCGCAGTCTTAACCAAGGACCTACAAATCCCCCCTCACACACTTGCAAATACAGTTTTAGTGCAAATCTAATAAGTCAATGGTAAGCCCTTACATGGCAACAGGAGTCAGTCGCTTGCTCATTCCCCGAGGCCTAAACAAAACCGAAGGACAGTCAGGCAAGAGTGGGATGCTGGACTCTCGCGCAACCGTTGGTACACGACACCTAAGATAGTTCTACTTAGATGAGACCACAGTAACCGTCGCATTCGCCCAGGTCAAATTACTCCCAAACGTCTAGTTGTGTAATCATCCCGAACACATATTTTGTATACGTGACTCGCTTTGATGTATTGCCGGTTAAGCAAGGTTTAAAATGAGATTCGATCGATCACCCTGCATGTTGTACGCATGGTGTTTAAACTCACTCCTTTTGACGCGTTGTGGACATTATCGGACGTCGATGCATTGCTGAGACCTGGTTTGCATTGCACTGCTGTTTTAGAGGAAGTTTTCTGCAATGGTTCCTTTTATCCGGGCGCACATGTCTTCGTCATACGTATGCATTCGAACATAAGGCACAACTCCTGTAGTGTGCCACTATAATCTTAAAATAGAACGGCGTGCGAACTGATTTACAGTGGTTATACAAGCATGAAGCTTTATTATACTCTCGGACGCTGTGGCCGCGTTGTAGTTTTAGGATCCCAGGCTCATATAAAATTTCCTACATCTTGTAGGCTACACAAGTCGTTAAGCCTTCGAAACCCAGTTGAATTGTACCAGTCTGCCGAATGACTATCTGACCGTCACACTGGCTAGCCAATCAGTCATTCTCGTTTGTCGTTCTTCAGCAGAGCTCCATGGCGTATTGTCCTAATTCTACAGTATGACTGTGCATTTTCAAGGTAGCCAGCACATATTTAACCCAGCAATTTATTGCTTCGAGATGACTAGAAGACCTAGGAAAGACTTGAATATAATCTCAGCGTACTCAATGTTTCGCATCGGTCACTTGCTATAGATTATACTCTAAAGAACACGGAAAGAAGTTACGTGTGGTTCTCTTGACCGCAAAGTTGCAGAAAATGGACAGTGCACCTTCTTGATGCACCATACTTCTTGTGGTGAACGTAGAGACAGCTACTTGTAGACGAATACACCAGCCCTGGAAGCTACGATAATGCGAATTTTTATTGAATTCCTATAAATGCAAGATAATTAATTTTAGTCCAACTTTTGTATGTATTCCTAGATCATTTTACTTACGCCGTTCAGTACTCCTCAGGAAAATAATGTCAGCCCCCACCAACCGGGATAAAAGCCGAGAAGTACAGCGAATACACATAAAATTTCTCTGTCCATTCCAACAAATCCTCTCATACACACATGAGGAATACATTGGTCACCATATTAATGTTTCATAGGGTCCGCCGCAACCGAACCTCGAGAACGGTTAGGGTGCCGAATGGGGCGGATGATAACCACAACACCGTCGTCTTCATCAAAAGGAATTGTCACCCTATGGAGAACTGGTTCATCCTTGCTCGATGTAATGCCTTCCTTGCTTTTGCCCAAAGGATCATTGTTGAAAAACTTGCTAGGTTGGCCACATCCGAATAAGCTTGATAAAGGTTGTCTTCTTGAAGATTCTAACACGGTTGAATTAATTTCAAGCTGTTTCAGCGGCCTCAAATAATCAGTAGGCAATTTCGACTTATGCGTTTTGATAAACTCTTGTAAACTTTTGCGCTGGCCTTGGTGTAAAGTGGAATGCCAAAGAGGAACCCGGCTGATAAACTGATACTGTCTGATCAAGTTGACTAGAAGTTCGGTGGAAATAAGCTTGGGAACCGGATATTTGCAAGTAGCAGCTTCCTGTTGACGAACGTGGAACGCCAAGCAACGTATGTGGAGAGCGATGAGTAATTTGAGCGCGTTGAAAAGTAACTGCAATTGATAGTTCAGTGGGGCACGTGCCACGCTTAACCGGTTCAGGTAGTGAATGCACTCACTCAAATTAAGACGGAAAGTAGATCGGCTGACAGATGCGCTGCTCCGAGTATTTTCTCGAAGAATACAAGTCATATTTTTGCCTGGAATAGCTCGTCCCAGAGGAAGAGTTGGCAGGTTAGAATTCGGCATATCTGTATCCTAATTATGCGGCAGATCGATATTTGGTCCAACCTGTTGGACACTCAATGATCAACTGCTTGCTGATTAGCTTCGATCAACCGTATTGTTGATCACGTGCCCCAGTGTAGCTACAAGTCCGCAGTTGATTATTGATCGGCTTTACCGAGGGACGCCGCTGTTGCCCCCGATCAGTTCTCACACTCTAACTACCGGGGCATGTGACCCTTCAGTTAAAGACAGAAAAAAGTGGATGCAACTTAGAGGGTGGAACAACTGCTTGCTTAGTTCTTGTTGGAGCGTAAGGAGCAAATCAATCAAACCCATCTAATCCGTTAGCACTGCCGCAGCCTCGCTATTGTCTTCAATTGCGACTGAAGACCAACTGTCATTCTGCAGTGCTGCCGGCCCACTATACCTTCTCACAATTCCTGGTGTCATCACTCAAATACTTGCATCGGTCACGCTTGAAACTGCATCGCGTGCGTCATGTGACACGTTGCACGTGCGCACACTTGTAAATCATACCCATGGACTAAAATTAGCCCGGATGTCCCTAGGTTCGAATCCTCGTAAGTGCGAGTGACCCCGTAGTATTCGTACGCAATCACAGGTGTTTACACGGAAGCCAAATGTCGGTAGGAAACTTTCATTGCCCTGTAAAGGTATTACATAAAGCCAGTGGCCGAGTGGTCTGCGCGTTTGCTTTGCAACCATAAGGTCACCGGTTCGACTCCGCGCAGGGATGGGCGTCCTCGCAGTATACTCAGCCTGCACGCGACTGGTGGTGGTCGCGCGGCAGCGAAGCGCCGTTGCGGCGTACAGCTGACACATTACATTTTTACTAAATAGTTTATTAGACACCAACGCTCCGGGTATTCCCTTTTGAAGACAATCGTTCCCAAACCTGTATCCGCATCATGATTGGACGACTCACTAGGGCACACGAATTGCGTCCGTCTACAAAAACAGCTGCAAAATGCTTTCAGCCGACTCGAACAGTAGGCATTCAGTACATTAATATTTGTTATTATGGAACGCTGTCAAGTTTTCTCTGTATGTCCGTTTGGTGTGAGGTGAACTGTCATGCTTACTTCTACAAACACTGTAATCGTCCAGCGTCAATTGTGGAAATCCACCTCTTGCATTTAGTGGTAGTGTAGTCGAAGCGCAATCGAATGCCTTTTAGCATGATGTTTGTGCTTAAAGTTGCAGCCACAGGTATCAGGCGTATCTCACGGATGTAAAAGCGGGCACGAGTAAACAATCGCCGAAAGAAATTTGTGAGAGACTATATCGTAAGTAGACTCTCTAGGCGTAAGGAAGGTGATCATAAAGTGAGATAATATATAAGAATATGTATTTATCGTGCTACCGAAGAGCCGTGCCCACAAACGAACGTACCGTATTTACATGTACAACATATTCACGCGTGCAGGGTTGTCAATGGTTGGTGTTATGCAGGGATGCGATAGGTACCTTTGGGAATATTATTGTGGGAATTACCCAATCGTTTCCCATCAGAAAAGGAGCATTCTCATATTTTTCCGGCGTGGGTCGGGGATACCGTGGCGGCGGCAGGTTCGTGAAACGGGAAGTAACGCAAACGGGGATAAAGTAAATGGAGCCAATAACCAATATTAGACGAATAGCGCAAAATCGTTCATAATAGTCTACAGTAATACGGGTTAAATTATCTGTAGCTGGTGCAGCTTTACTCGTATGCGAAAGCAAAGAGAAGCTAGGATGAATATACCAATGTAGCTGCATATTACTCTTCGAAGTTTCGGCTGTGTTAGCCGAGTAATGTAAGGTTGTAACCACATATGAGCGAGTTAACGTAGTGGTTTGCCTGGACATTCTTAGATCTAGATTTCGAAATAAATTGATCAAACAAGATGTATTGTGTGTTACGGAGACTAATTGAACTTAGTTGCTTTCCCTTCGGCCTTCACTTGTGGGTGAAGTGATTTATGGCTTGCTCAGTCCTGCAACGGAAGAGCTGATGTTGAGGTGAGGAGGTAGAGACTTTGATTAATAAATGAATAAACGTTTGTTTTGTACACTGCTAGACACACTCATCAAGGCAGGATGAACAACTTACGGCCAGTTACATACTATCGAACACAGGGTGACTAAGAATGCATACATATAGTTAACCGCTTTTTGGCATAGATATAAGGAGGAAAGGAAAGGCACTGCGATAGAATCAAGAGGGTAGTCTAGGGAATAAATGAATGGGTGACATCGATAAGACAATAACAAGTTATAGTTGAAGTAACCAGGAGCACATTTCCAACTAGTTCCAGGCAAATAGGGAAATATGGTAAGAAAGACCAAATGGAGTAATACGATCATCCTTGGGACTGAGTTCAATCTCAGTAGAAGGATGCCGGCACATCGCATCGACGCCTCACTGCCACGCGACCATCAGCAGTCGTACGTGGGCTCAGTATATCGCGAGGTCGCCCGCTCCTACACGGACTCGAAACGATGGCATCGTGATCACACGGTGCGCGCGTAAATCTTTCGGCCACCGGTCAGATGGAACCTTTGCTTCTTGGCAGTGATCATTGCTTCTATGCACGCGCCCCAGTTAACCAGCACTGATGGGAATCCGTCTTTGAAAAGACTGTAATAAGTCCTTCCGCGAGGACACGAAGCTTGAATCTTGATAAATTTCAGCTCACTAAGCAATGCTTCATCCACCGACCCACAGTTGGTGTACATCCGCACAGGTACGGCAGTGACATTAGGATAACGACCATGCCTGTATTGAGACCACCACATAATCATTTCTGGGTTGTGGTACAACTCAAATATTTTGTATGAAAGTGCTGAAAATAGGACTGTATGCTTGTGCGGACTTCGGGCTCTCAAAATATTTGGAAGCATAAGCGTTATGTGTGTAGTACCCCAAAGACCATGTACAGGTTGGGATATGTTCATAGCCTATTACTCGCAAAACTAATATTTAAACTGTTCAGTTGTTTGTCTAATTTATTGTCTATACTTCTGACGATCAGCCATTTTTGTATGCAACTTTTTCGTGGCTCAAATTCCACTTCAATATTTGAAATACATAAGAGGAAGGATAACCAGAAAATCAGTCTTCCTCCTTGATATAACTAAACTTCCATTCACTGATAGCCATAAATCTATACTTCCCGACTAGGAACTGGTGTGGTCCATACTGCAGACATTCTTAGCCCATTTTCTGTTGCCACTTTTTAGTTTTTTAAATGTAATTTGAGGTATTGAATTAGCGTAGTATTTATAAGTTTGTGACTGAAGTTTCAAATAGTTACTAATCCATATTGTTTTAAATTATGTTTTCCAATGCATGTTTGCCTTACTTACTTTACTACTTTAAGCTCGTTGTAGGACGTGTCCTTAAAAGCGGACACCAGTAGAAAAGAGCTTAATAACGTTAACACGTCATCTGGCTACACGTTGCCGATTTGACCAAAATATGAGGGATGTCATCCAAGTATGTCGCTATTTCCGGCCCAGTCCAATTAGGTGACAGCGGGCGTGTTAGAAGGTATGTGTAATCGTAGCAAAGCCCAGCCACTCAAGAGTAACAAAGATTCTGCTGGGATACAAAATCGATCGGCGGGAGAAAGAGTTTTTTGTCACTGATCGGGAAGATTTCATTGTAAAACCACAAACTTGGCCTGGGAATCCAGACCATGACGTTGAGAAATTCCGAGGGGCAATATATTGAATGCTAGGATATTTATGCTATCCACCGTAAGATTGCGGTGTAACTTTCTACTGAATGCCTATATGTGCAATGAAGTACAATGTGGACAGTGACATTGTATCACCGTGGATACCGTAGCTCGTGAAACCTAGTAATGAATTTTTATTAGTCTATTTATTTACCATCTGAGGCACATCTACCGATTACCACACCCAAGCCAAATTTAGCCAACCATTGGTCGCACAATCTGGAGGAACTACGCTAAGGCCGAATCAAACCGCACGCAACACGTTAACACCCCATGAAAGGTAACGGTAGCAACCAGTTTTACAGCGGTCGGTATATTCTCACGGCTAGCTCTGTTGCGACCAGCATGGTCCCTGAAGCTCACCCTTTTCCGAGCTGTGAGATCATTGAGCGCTGCAGCGACATGTTTGCACAGTGGAATGACCGACACAGAGGTCTGGCTGACGAGTATGTGACTCAGTTGGGATGACAGGTGTTCGGTCCGCTTACGAGTTTTGTAACATCATGATTTGGAACTGTACTTCCATTTAATTAGACCATGCTCTTGTCTGCGCGATTATCTGTATGTGTTTTGGAGGATTCCGTATCATGAAACACCGTATGATTGATGCAAACTTATTAACTGATTCCTCTGTCCAGGCGAGCTCTGTCTTCACTGGCATATGCACTCAGTTGCAATCCACCGCAGGAAGTGAAACAACACGGGACTTGTATACGGAAGGCAATGACCATTTCCGGACAGTCATGCTGCGGCCTAACTCGAAGCCCCTTGAAGGTTTGGATTTCTGCTCGTTCTCTGGAGCTGTTCGAACGCAGCAAAAGATATCCCCGCTGAATCAGCTTGCAACGAGCGTCGCCGTTCTGCCAATCGGCTGCTCAAGCAAAGCCTACGCAAGGATCGCGAGACATAGTGGTCTGGGCGTGCTTTAGAGATGGAGACCGCTGCACTCTCTGGCATCACTCGTCGGCTTTTCCAACTCATTCGGTCCACTGGCCTCAGGAAGCCTGGTGTCAGTGAGGTTATTTGTGGGGTGGATGATTTTTTGGTCACCAACCAACAGAGGCCTATGGACCGCTGGTCTGAGCACTTTCACTCGCAGTTCAATTGGCCTCCACCATCCATCAGTACATACAGTACACATTGTTGTCCTCCCTGGCTCGTCCCCTGAATCCACCCAGCGAAGCGGAAGTCTGCCTCGAGATTCGACGCTTGAAGCGCTTCAAGGCTGCCGGCTTAGACGGACTTCCTCCTGAGCTATTCAAGTACCGTGGTGTGGCGAGCATTAACTAGCTGACCG